ACGCAGAATATCTGTGTCGACACAAAAGTCAACGCAGAATATCTGTGTCGACAAAGATATTCTGTGTTGACTTTTTCACCTGAAGACGGAAGCTTGTGTTGCCTCCGAAACGTCGTGATTTAATTGTTTTATTTTATCTACGTGACTTTACCGAATAAAACCATAGAGTATGCGAAAACGTTATCCGATTTCTTTCGTTCAGATTGCTCCCAGGGCCGCCACGGTGGCTCTGAGATGTTGACTACCTCGCCTGGTGTGCAGGAGGTAGTGGGTTCGATCCCGACCCTGACGTCCGCTGTATATTTAGAGTTTGCGGTGTCTCTCTCCCAGTGATCGCGTGGATTTTTCTCCGGGTCCTCCGGTTTTTCCCTTCACATTTTGAATCGACATCACGCGTTTAGAGTAATTTGGCTGCTATAAATTCCCAGATGATGATGATAAGCTACTTCGCTGAGCTATCATTTGTGGCCAGGTCGCTTCTGAAAAAGCACTTCACAGCTCAGTGGGGCCTTACCTGGTACAATAAAAAATAATTTTAAAGTATATTATAGTGATGATGAGCGTGCTTTTGGTGTGATTGTATACATCCTGACGATGATGACAGTGGAGATGATGAGGGTGACGGTGGGTTATGATGTAAACTGTTTAATAGTGGTCGGATGGTGATGACACATGCCGTGATGATCATGGCGATGTATGTGACGGTGATGCACGTGATGGTGATGTTAAGCATTGATGATGGTGATGTGTTTGTGATGGTGATGTACGTGATGGTGATGTATGTGATGGTGATGTTAAGCATTGATGATAGTGATGTGTACGTGATGGTGATGTATGTGATGATGTATGTGATGGTGATGACGATGATGTTGATGTGATGGTGATGTGTATGTGATGGTGATGTACGTGATGGTGATGTATGTGATGGTGATGATGTATGTGATGGTGATGACGATGATTTTGATGTATGTGATGATGATGATGGATATCACGTGATGGTGATGTCTCACCCCCCCCCCCCCCAGGTAGGGGCGGGTTCCCCGTGCGGGGCGCTCGCCCTGCCCTTATAAGGGAACGCGCGCGCGCGCCCCGCCACGATATCCGGCCTCCGCGTCGATTCGATTCGGAATCCACGGTCGCACTCCTAAATCGACACTGGCGAGACTCCTCTCGCCACCCCTGTTTGGAATCGAACCCTCCCCGTGTTCACTGAGTCACTCGTTGCAGTTTGCTCGCCCCCCGCTGGATTTCGGCATCGCGCGACTGCGAGTGGGGAGGGGGGGATTGCAATGTATTGGGGGGGGGGGGGGGGCTTCGTCCAGCAGTGGATTGATCATGGCTACTAACTTTTGCCCAATCCCTCCGCGCGTGCCACTAACATTAGGTAAAGGCGCAGCCCTGAAATTGCTCACTCGCGCCACTGCAGTGGCTGGGCGATGTTAACTCCCTCGCCTGCTCTACAGGAGGGCGTGGGTGATTGATATTATTTTGGTTCGATAAAATACCCCAAATGATTTGTCCACTTTGTTGAACTGTCATTTGTGGCCAGGTCGCTTCTGCAAAACAAGTTGATACCTCAGTGGGCTTGGCCTGGTAGGATGGGAATGGTTTAGTTTTACTTTGTGTGGATTTGGGTGATGTGTTACCTTTCTTGTACTTTGCACTCCTGGCGTATATCTGTACTGTTAGTTGTTGTAACGTTCTTACCCAACCTACTGGACGTCTGTGAAAACAATCTTCAAGGCTGATCGGATTCCTCCGGCAGTATAAATACATATTTTATTGATTCTGATTCTGACCCAGACGCCGGTAATTTGGAGTTTGCGTCTCTCTCTCTCTCCCCCCGTGGTCGCATGGAATTTTCGCGGAGTCCTCCGGTTTTCCCCTCCACATTTAGAATCAACATCACGCGTTTTGGAATATTTGTCTGCTGCTATAAATGTCCACACGACAAGCCGCTTGGTGGAGACATTATTTGTGACCAGGGTCACTTCTGAAAAAGGGCCTTAGGGGGCGTCCATAAATTACGTCACGCGATTTTGGACGATTTTTGACACCCCCCCATCGTCACACGACGTCACAAAAAGTCAGACCCCCCCTCAAATATGACGTCACAAAGCTCTGCCCCCCCCCTCCCCCCCAAAATAAAACATGCTTCAAATCGCTTGAAACTATTGCCATTGTAGTGCGTATTTAATGTGGCGCTGCACTCTGATGCTGTAGGAGAAAACATTGATTAAAACGTCTCTTTAATTAAGTAGAACGTGTTGTCTATGTTTATTTAAAGTTGCGCATTTTTATGTGACGTCAAATTTCTCAAACCCCCCCTCGTCACACATCGTCACAAACGTCTGACCCCCCCCCCCCCCCCCCAGGTGCGTGACGTCATTTATGGACGGTCCCTTATCTGGAATACAAAAAAAGTTTAGTTTAAATAGTTTAAGAGATCAGGTTAGGAGTCCTCATTTGCAACAGAAATCCTGGCACATCAAAACGGCAACAGCAAAGCTATTAAAGTACAGCACAGCGGTGAAGTTGAAGGCGTAAATTCTAACTTGAGAGCTTTGGCCACGTGGTCCCTATAGAAGCGATGGTCAACACTGTTGACGTTGGCTGTCAGAGGAGGGAAACCAGCCAAATCAGCTGTATATACCGGGTGGACTGTTATATACCGGGTGGATTGTTAGATACCGGGTGGATTGTTATATACTGGGTGGATTGTTATATACTGGGTGGATTGTTATATACTGGGTGGATTGTTATATACCGGGTGGATTGTTAGATACTGGGTGGATTCTTATATACCGGGTGGATTGTTAGATACCGGGTGGATTGTTAGATACCGGGTGGATTGTTATATACCGGTTGGATTGTTATATATCGGGTGGATTGTTATATACCGGGTGGATTGTTAGATACCGGGTGGATTGTTAGATACCGGGTTGATTGTTAGATACCGGGTGGATTGTTAGATACTGGGTGGATTGTCATATACTGGGTGGATTGTTATATACCGGGTGGATTGTTAGATACTGGGTGGATTCTTATATACCGGGTGGATTGTTAGATACCGGGTGGATTGTTATATACCGGGTGGATTGTTAGATACCGGGTGGATTGTTAGATACCGGGTGGATTGTTATATACCGGTTGGATTGTTATATACCGGGTAGATTGTTATATACCGGGTGGATTGTTATATACCAGGTGGATTGTTAGATACCGGGTGGATTGTTAGATACTGGGTGGATTGTTAGATACCGGGTGGATTGTTAGATACTGGGTGGATTGTTATATACCGGGTGGGTTGTTATATACCGGGTGGATTGTTAGATACTGGGTGGATTGTTAGATACTGGGTTGATTGTTAGATATTGGGTGGATTGTTAGATACCGGGTGGATTGTTATATACCGGGTGGGTTGTTATATACCGGGTGGATTGTTAGATACTGGGTGGATTGTTAGATACTGGGTGGATTGTTAGATATTGGGTGGATTGTTAGATACCGGGTGGATTGTTAGATACCGGGTGGATTGTTAGATACTGGGTGGATTGTTAGATACTGGGTGGATTTTTAGATACCGGGTGGATTATTAGATACTGGGTGGATTGTTAGATACTGGGTGGATTGTTAGATACCGGGTGGATTGTTAGATATTGGGTAGATTGTTAGATACTGGGTGGATTGTTAGATATTGGGTGGATTGTTAGATATTGGGTGGATTGTTATATACCGGGTAAATTGTTAGATACCGGGTGGATTGTTAGATACTGGGTGGATTGTTAGATATTGGGTGGATTGTTAGATACTGGGTAGATTGTTCGATATTGGGTGGATTGTTAGATACTGGGTGAATTGTTAGATACCGGGTGGATTGTTAGATACTGGGTGGTTTGTTATAAACTGGGTGGTTTGTTAGCAATTGGGTGGATTGTTAGATTCCGGGTGGATTGTTAGATACTCGGTGGATTGTTAGATACTGGGTGGATTATTAGATACTGGGTAGATTGTTCGATATTGGGTGGATTGTTAGATACTGGGTGAATTGTTAGATACCGGGTGGATTGTTAGATACTGGGTGGATTGTTAGATATTGGGTGGATTGTTAGATACTGGGTGGATTGTTAGATACCGGGTGGATTGTTAGATACTGGGTGGATTGTTAGATATTGGGTGGATTGTTAGATACTGGGTGGATTGTTAGATACCGGGTGGATTGTTAGATACCGGGTGGATTGTTAGATACCGGGTGGATTGTTAGATATTGGGTGGATTGTTAGATACCGGGTGGATTGCTAGATACCTGGTGGATTGTTAGATACCGGGTGGATTGTTAGATGTTAAGATGTTCAAACACCAACTAGACCTCAGTCACAACCCACCAAGTCTACTCAACTGCACAGACAGGAGCGTGTTGTTACACGCATTAGATAATGATGCTGAAGCTTCTGCGAATACTACTGCTGCTGATGCTCACGCAGATGTGATGCCTTGCAGTTGGGCGTCTATTTGGTGTCTGGACATCTTAAACACGCAACAAGGGTACACGAGCACAATTTTTATTTCAATATCTTGATACTGGCGAAAGGATCCCATCGCTAAACCCAAGAATGGTGGCATTGAATGACAAAGGTGAATAGGTGTGCTGTTGTTAATATTCTTATAGGTGCGTAGTAACGTGCCTTTACTTCTAGTCTAGCGACACAGCGTTGGTATACGGTGTTTTTTCTAGAAGACTTTGCTGTTTTTTCCTGGATTTTTCTGTTGCGTGTAGTCACTTTAACGTTTCTTGTTCATGTTTTTGTTTGTTGCGGTTGCACCCGAATCAAGAGCCGCGTGGCTCACAGGGTTATACCTAATAAATGAAACTGAAACACAAAATAAACCATCGGGGCGAATCAAAGGCAAAACATCAAACAAACAACACGAGTTTTGATGGGAAGCCCTGTAATCGAATTGCACGACTCGGGTTTCGATTTGCACGGAATCGGATCGATCCACACCCTTAACTGAAAGCTTCTCTGGTTGCGTGGATTGGAAGCCGCGAACCTCAGAGGCGTGAGAGCAGTCACAGCAAGCACAGCAGCAGCATCATCAGCAGCAGTATCAGAAGCTTCAGCAGCAGCATCATCAGCTCATTCACGTACAACCACAAGGATCTACACGCGGGGCCATTCCGTTCCGGATCAACTTTTTCAAGTCTGCAAAGGGGAACGGAATTGACTTTTCTCGCTCTCTCATCTCTCAACTTTTGTCGTCGTTGTTGAAGCTTCACAATGGCTGCGAATTTCAACAAAGGGCCGGCGTACGGTCTCTCGGCGGAGGTGAAGAACCGGGTGAGTTCTTCAGCAGCGGCGTTCATAGATTCTCCGCATTAGAGTTCGATACGCGTGGCGTGTTAAGTTTGAATCGTGATGGTAACTTGGGTCGCCGGAGTGGTGCGCATCTTACTTTCCGCGGCGTCTTATAGTCCGGTATTCTAAAGTAGTGCGTGTGAAGGATTATTACAAAGATGTGATTGTGGTCAAGTGTAAGGTGAAACGTGGAGAGGTTAGGAGATAGTGCCGCGTAAAATGCTGCTCGTGATTTTGTGTGTTTTTTTTGTTATCATTGTAAGTTTGGCGAAGTTATACACATGTATATAACTGGTTGGTTCGGGATGATTATGCCAATTGTATTTTAGTCGTTTGCGACGTTTGTATCCGTGAGTGCATGCGTGTGTGTGTGTAGTGATTGTAGTCACAGGGGAGCGGTGGTGCAGTGGTTAGCGCTACGCAACGAACCCTGCAGACACTCGCGAGTTCGATTCCCGCTCACGGCCAACACTAGCGACGATTATCTGAACCGGTCCTGGGACTCCCCTAGGTTGACTCGGCCTTAAACGAGTACCCTGCGCGGTGTGTAGACATCGCCATTCTGGGGGAGACAAAGGCGGCCGGGCGTGGTGATGGCCACCCCATCCCTTAGCATATCTGTCAACCCCATATGAGTGCCCTACCTTATTACTGACCAATTCACACCTTATTGATCACCCCGTGCCCCTATAAATCTCAACGTTTATCCTACAAAGTCCCATCACAAGGGATAAACACAAATATACAGAAATGTTGTTTTTGCCCTTATTGAAACGGCTGCATGCCGTATTTACCTGAATACTCAATCCCCCCTGTACAACAATACGGAGGTGAAACCCATGTGGGGTTGACAGCTGTATACTCGCTAACAGCACTTGCCCCAGCAGTCTGTTGAGGCTACTCGGGAGATCTTTGTCTTTGTGTGCGCGGTGCATTCCAGACGGCCCCGTTTTCATCTTCCCACCCTGCTGCTTTCTAACCAGAATGGGTTTACTGGCAGTGGACTGTCCATTGGGGATTGATTCACCTTCATCCATTGAGCCAATGGTGGAAATTCCACGTTCCCATGGCCAATGTTGACTCGCTATGAGGTTGGTCAATGTTGACAGTGGTAGTGTGTTGTGTCGCACCCATGGGTAATGATGTTATGGGCCCGAGTTGACCTCCGAACGTGAAGTCTACCAAGACCGTCTCACTCGACCTCAACCCACCCACCACCAACTGTTAGAAACTCCACATTATTGTGGCCGGGGCCAGGTACAAGCGTGAAGGCACAGAGTGGTGGTGCATGCTTTAGCGACCCTGAGGATTGGCGATCGTTGACGATGATTGGTGGTGGCTAGATGTTGACTACCTCGCCTGGTACGCAGGAGGTCGTGGATTAGATCCCCTGACGCCTGCTGCTGCTGTATTATTTGGAGTTTGCGTGTCTCTCTCATCATCATCACGGTGGCTAGGAGATGTTGACTACCTCGCCTGGTATACAGGAGGTCGTGGGTTCAATCCCCTGACCCATGACGCCTGCTGCTGTATATTTGGAGTTTGCGTGTCTCTCATCATCATCACGGTGGCTAGATGTTGACTACCTCGCCTGGTACGCAGGAGGTCGTGGGTTAGATCCCCTGACCCTGTCGCCTGCTGCTGTATATTTGGAGTTTGCGTCTCTCTCTCATCATCACGGTGGCTAGATGTTGACTACCTCGCCTGGTCCACAGGAGGTCGTGGGTTATATCCCCTGATCCTGTCGCCTGCTGCTGCTGCTGTATATTTGGAGTTTGCGTGTATCTCTCCGTGTCCTCCGTATTTTTCCCCTCCACATTTAATCATCAACACCACCACCACTACGCGTTTAAGAGTAATTTGGTCGCTATAAATGTCCACGTGACGCTCTAAGCCACTTCGTTGGCCAATCATTTATGGCCGGGTCGCCTCTGAAAGATAACTCTGTAGGCTCGGTGTGCCTTTTGCCCGGTCAAACAAAGCGTCGTTTTTTGTTGAGTTTCGGTGAGGGGAAAAAGTAAAGAGGGGACTTGGGGAGGACACTCGTCGAGCGAGGGTTGCGGCGGCTGATGGACCAAGACTGGCAGCTGAAGGTGGAGCACAACTCCTGACGATGATCTCTCCCCCCCCTCCAAAAACCTCGGGAGATGGAGCAGGGAAATAATAATATAAACCCTGGCGTGGATCTAAAAGGTTGAACCCTGAAGCTTTTGTTGAGCCCTGCAGCCCAGACGAACGGAGTTTCTATTGCTGCGGGAATGCGCACACGGAGTCATTCCTTTCTAGGTTTGAAGCTTTCGTGACTGCAAGGATCCATATACTCTTTTTTTTGTTGTTGTTTTATTTGTTTTACCTACGTGACTTTACCGAATAGAACCAAAGAGTACAAAGTCATTCCTGTGCTGTTACATCGGCACTGAGAACTGTTATTATTGCACTTCCAAGTTTCGTTATTACGCTCGGAATGCCCCGAATGTCCTTTTTATTTTCATTTAAACCGGACCTCCCTTTTGACGTCTACCGGTAACACACACAGAGCGACGCATTTTGCATCGGAAAACGCGATTTGTTTATAGTTGAGTGTCGGCGAACATCGCACGAAGCCCCCCGTGGCTATCAAACAGTGCCAGGCCGCCCGACATCGTCTCCTGGCCACGGCTAACGTCAGTGGTACTGTGAGCCCTGTCACACTCCTCATCCTACCTACCTACCTTCCTTCACCGGCCCGCACTGACCAGCGTGGTGAAGTATGGTCAACGTCCACCGTGACCGGACAGTGTTGTTGCCGCCGCCGCCGCGAAGGGTTCCTTCATCCAGCAGCGGATTTGTGAACGCGCTTTAACAAACAACATTGCGCCGTTTAAGAGTCGACGTGCACCTATCGGTGACGCTGTTGGTAAGGTCGGCTCTGATTAGATTGGCTATGGTTGAACAGAGGGAATATGATAACGGGGCGACGACGACAACGATGAACTTCTTCTTCTGCGTCGTCGTCTGTGCGCGCTGCTGCGTGCGTCCATCTTAGACGGCGGGAAGTCGCGACGCGTTTCCCGCCTTTTCGTGAGGGGAACGTCGACACGACGTCGCCTCGCGTCGCTCTGGTTAACGCGCGCGTCGACAACACGAGAACAACCTCCCTCCCCCACCCACCACCCTTTTTGACGTGCAAACCGAAATTTAATTGGCAAGTCCCAGGCTAAACACCCCCTCGCTCGCAACAAAAATAAGGGATGATCCATTTATAGATGCCCCCTTGCGTTCTGACGGCTTTGAGTGGTGTGGCTACCCCCTTTCGCCTCGGCGAGCGATGGAATTTCATCGTGAAGGCAGTGGCGCCCGCTGCCTTGCGGAGGAAGAGTGTTGGAACGCTCGATATGTGCATTGACGTTGAGGTTTTGTTCACAAACAAAAAAAGCTTACTCTAATGTTTACCGATTATTCTCGTGGGGTATCTATAAATGGATCGCCACATGGCAACGTCGTGGCAACGTCGTTGTTGGTATGCGGTTTGAGATTCGTCGAACGCAACGTTCCACGTTCACTGGGCCTTGGCACCGTAACGGCGGCTTAACGTTTATAACCACACCGAGGCAATTGTTGTCATGCGTGCGTGCCTCGGGCACGACAACGACCAACAAACAACAACAACAAACATAACGCCACTTTGTCACGACGACTGCTGTCCAAGTAGGGACAGTGTTTGTTGTTGTTGTCGTAGTCGTGTCACCAGATGTTAGCAGTGGCTGCTACATTGTGCCCTGTTGCCACGCCTTGGCACTGGGCACAGCGTGCTGCGCTTCAGGGCTGCCGCGTCGCTCGGCAACAGGACGCGGTTGCATCACGCCGCTTTCAACATTCGTCGCAGCACCAAACCCCCTAATTTGTTTACGCTTTACGCCACCCCCCCCCCCCCGGTAAACACGTCAACAAGCGTGGGTCCCCGACGTTGTTGACGCGTGGTTGGAAGCGGTGGAGCAACGTTGGCTCAACGTTGTACCGGGAAGGTCGGCTGTGTGTGTCGCACTGTCAGGGGGGTGGGGTTGCAGGCTAGTAGGGGGCCCCAAATCCGTTCGTAAATCTGAATATTTGTTCGTACTGGAGGAATCCGATGAGCTTTAAAGCTCATAATAAAGGTGTTTTGGGTTAGATCGCGTTATTTATAAATGTGTCGTAACCCTCCACCAACCCGACACCGGCCAATCAGCAAAAAAAAAGTGTCACGTTGACAAAAGACAAATAATTCAACGTGACACTTTTTTTGCTGATTGGCCTGGTCGGGTGGTGGAGGGTTACGACACATTTATAAATAACGCGATCTAACCCAAAACACCTTTTATTATGAATAATATTGGTCGCGAAAGCCTACGTGTTAAGCTTTAAAGCTCTCTTTTTTTCCCTCCACACATGTCCAGTAGGGGTGGGGTCAGAACGTTGTAACAACAAACTCGAGAGGAGCGCAAAGTGTATTGGAAGTTAATCAAATTAATTTTTGTTTGATATTACCGGTTAAATCACACCGAGCTCTTATCTTCTTTTGTCAGAGGCGATCTGGCCCACAAACGAAAGCTCATCGTGGTGGCTTGTCGCGTGGGTATTTACTGCAGCCAAAATAATCTGAATGATTTTGAACGCATCCCGTAAGCCGTGCGCCCTGTATCAATCCTGCCACGGGGACATGAGGGGTGGCATTTTTAACGTGCCGTGGTGTTATTCACACATTGAACAGCGCCGCGCTGTAATTATTCACGAGCCATTGTGTGCGCGTGCTTGTCCATTGGCAAAAACACATGCTGGCTGTCGCTCGTAGCAAAAGACGGATGGTTAAATATTCATAAACATTCCGAACTGCAAACAAAGCATATCGGGCCACAACAGCGCTTCTCCCCGACAGAAAATGGTGCCGGTGTTATACCCACAAAGGCGTCGGTCGCACATTTATCCCCCTGTCACGTAAACAATTTCAAACCCTCCGCGATTCAGTT